GTGAGCTCTAGATTTGGATGCTCACAGGACATCTGTTTAAACTAAGAAACCACTTTACTTATACGGTTTTTACAAGTCACCCTTTATTGCCAGTTCCTTAGTTTTCTGAACATAGTTTGGGCCAGCCCTGACAAGTTCACTGTCCAACTTCACTGGAAATATCCAATAGCAGCCCTGATGCTCCCCCTTTCTCAGGTACAACAAATCACAGAGCAAGATCATCTGGAGACAGGAGCCTTTTGGCTTTGATTCCATTTTATATATTGTAACAGTTTGTAGGAAGAAAAGAGGGAGAGGACAAAAAAAAAAGAAGAGCTATCATATTTGAGAGTTGAAAAAGGTCTAATGAGCTACCAATGAAGCGTTCAAATGGTATTTTTCAGGTAAGAATCACATCTTGAAGGAAGGCTGTAAGACTGGCAGCTTCTCTTTTGGCAGATCTGCTGGCTCTGTGCACCCAGTTCTACAGTTACAGAGGTTATGCTCCAAGTAAGGCATATTAAATAAATATTTGGATATAAAAGCTGATACTTACAGGTCACTACTAAACAACAAAAACAAAACAATCCCAGAATACAAGTGCAGTAACATCCTAAATCTCATGCTTCTGACAAATTTGTGAACATTTTCCCTATTAAAGGAACAAAGCAGAAGAAAGAAGATATAGCAGCTTCTCTGCTTACATTCTCTGCTTACATGTTAACACTGTTTTATTCCATGACTTTTTTTCCTTTTTTTTTTTTTTTTTTTTAAGAAAAGTAACAACTAGAAGGGCCTGATGCATCTGCAGAATCTGGAGACACAGAGAAATTCAAACTGTTCCGCTGAAAGCAGCAGCTGCCACACCTCCACGGCATCATTCGAAGGTCTAGCCTTTTCCTACCCTGAACAGATCTGCTAACTGCCGCTCATATTGCAACTGCTTGCATGCAAAACCAAGACATCAGCGGGGAAGTGAGATGGATTCTGTTTCTCCTTATACACGATCAAGCAACAAACTTCTTGCATGAGTGCAAGTTCTTTCTACGTCAACCTTGTTGAGCACAACAAGAATGACCAAGTCAGAAAACCAAAGTCAAAGGACCTTGGAAAAATAAGTGCTGCATTTGACTAGCGATTTTATTTTTATCAGTGATGACTTACAAGGCAAGGCTATTCAACTTAATTCCCAGAAGCTGGCTGAGTTAGCAGGAAAACAGACTGCTAGGAGAAGAAAAGGCGCCTGTAATATATAAACTAGGCACTTCATTCTAAAGGAAGAAGCAATTAAATAATAACCTCATGGCTCTTCCTTGTCAGAGCAGTTCTCTGTTAATCAAATAGCTTCGTTTAACACATATGTCAGCTATTTCAGGTCTGTTCTCCATGCAGGTCAACTGAAATGAATGGGACTTTTCCAGAAATAACGTTACTGTGAGCAAAACCACAAGAATCTGCTATTCATTTACTTTTTTTTTTTTTTAAACAAAAAAACTCCAAAACTCTATTTTAACCCCTGCTTTTGAAAAGTTCCCAACATGTATACTGGATTCTATTAAAAATAACCAGGATGATTTCCACTGATCTTCGACACCTTTCAAATTCTGAACCTAAAGTTGCACTAATTCTCTTCAGTACTTACTGGCAGTCCAGGAATCCCAAACTCCTTTCTTAGCAATGTTTACTCTTCTTATTTTACAGCATGCCTCAAACACAGGTTATAGTTATTTCAGGAAGTTCTATGTAACTAGCGTATTGCAAAAATTACCACTTCCTATAACTAGCTCATCTGTTCTCTGATACATGCAACACTGCTAACACAGCCCTGGCATGAAAAAGTGTAGGCCACAGGAGAATAAGATGCATCGCACCTAAATCTCAGCCGGAAGGAGCACCATGTACCTGACCCACCAGCTGCAGAAACAGCAGAAGAGCAGCAGTGTGTAGAAAGTGGCTCCTGCAGCAGGGCTGGCCCATTTACAGCTCTTGTGTCATCAACTTATTTATCTCGTATTTTACGCTTCTAATTTATTTTATGGAAGGGCAGATTTTGGAATATTACAGGACCCTTTTCTGGATATCGTATCAGAACGTAGCATGCTTTGGTTCACCACCGCAAAAGTGCTAGCGGTGCCAGGATCAGTAGTCACTTAACAGGATGTAAAAACTTCAAAATGTAAAAAGCAAAGCGATATGAGAAAGAAGAAAGAGTCTACAGTCAGCATAGGTTTTTTTTTTTTTTTTTTTAAACAGAAGAGAGATTTTCCTTGCTTCCCAGTTTAACTAGATCGGCTCAGATTTTCCACTGGAAAAGAGAGGCATGATTTCACTAGACTTGTGGAACTAATCCATTTTATCCTAGCAGAAGATGTGTCCCTAGACTCTTGATTTCTGATCCATGAGAACAAAATAAGGCCCTGTGTGATTAACTAATTAAAAAAAAAGCTACTTTAATGTTCAGTAAATACAGTAAAGCTGGTTAAGCTGACAAAACATTACCTCGTTTGCAAAAATGACTCATATAAGCACTTTCAGTGGTGTCTAAAAAAAGGAACTGTGTTCTTTTCCCTGTAAAATTTGCTGACACAGTTACATGTTGACTTGTTTATTATGTGCCTCTAGTTTAGGTTCCTATTTTAAAATACTTTTCTTAATAGAAGTACTCCAATTATTTCCTGTTGTAGATGGATCAATGGTCCAGGAGGATATATGCTGGAATATCTCAAGGAAAGGCCAGTTATTTGTAACTCTGGATGATTTTCAAAGAGAATGCCAGACCTCACCAGGTTTAAATCCAAGTGCCAGGTACTGACCATCTCCTTGTATCCTTGGCAAAGCATATATTTTGGATCTTTATCAGTTATTGCTAACATCCTCAGATCACCTTTAAAGAAGCTTCAAAATTCAAGATATTTGATTGATTGTAGCATAATGCAAATACTGGCAGATGTCTATTATATCTTCTTCACTGTAAGGAATCTTCACGATCAGCTTTATCGTTAAATTAATGATATCCCTAATGTTTTACCTAGCATGTACAGGATTCTCCTGTTCCAAGAAATTTCTCTCAAACATGCACACTTTTGTTTCAGAAGAACATACAGTAGAATGAAAATCAACTGAATTATCTACCCAACCAAAATAGTATGACATATTTATCACAGCACTTAAGTATAAGGCATTCAGCACCATGAAAGTTTTGTTCATCAGTCTACACACCCAGTAGCACTCATGATTTAGTTTATACACATAGTAACTGCTTTCCAGAACCGGGTCAGGTACTGACTGAAAAGAGCACATTTTCCAAACACACATGCAGCCCCCATCCACACATACATAAGTAAACTTCACATGGTCTAACTGTGCAGAATCTGTGAACTTCTAAAATGCTTAAAGCGTGATTTGTAAATTCAAAAATCTTACTGTATTAAACTGCCCACATACTGTCAGGTCAAGTACTCTATTCCTGGAAGCTCATGAAAAATGCGCTATGATGCAGAATATCCTATGATTGTTATACTGATTATTACAGCTAGTCATACACCACAGGAGAGATGTGCCGTCAGTTGAAACAGCTGATTAGCAGGCTTACCTTCCTGATGTCCCTACAAAGCTTCATCATTCTTCTCTTATTTGTATATAAATCTGTAAGAATCATATCTTTACTTCTCATCGCTCAAATTAGTTAAAAACTCCTATCGGATATCACTCCCTAGTTTCACTACTAGCTAAAATATGGGGGAGGGTTTGGAGATGACTTCAAAAGCAATTCAGCACATGGTTTACGTAAAAGCGTGTGCTTTGCTGCATTGGGCCTTTTGGAACGACAGTCACGACATCACCTTCTAAAAGAAAATTTTCATCTAGAAAAACCACTGTCTAGATTTTTCTGTAGTCTGTTAAGTGGAACACATCTGTCCTTTGAGAAAGTACAAAAGTATGCCCATAGACTAAATGTGGTTGGAAAGTGTAGCATTTTTATTGGATTTCTTCTACAATAAGGATGCTAATTTGAAAGACTGGCCATGGCACAAGCAGCACAAGCAAGAAAAATGAGAGACTGGTGTGTTATTGACATGGTGGCCAATTGCTGGTACGCCTTTCAAATACAATACAACTTTCATGTGTAAATCCTCTTTTGATTTTTGAATTGAAGGACTATGATTTCCCTTCTACATATCCTTTCGATATTTTTTTCACTACCATCTCTCTTCAAGGCGAGAAAAAGCAAAGCGAGGAACCTGCAATGATAACTACTTCTACATTGTCTATCACCACCGTTTCACCCTTCTCAAACCAAATCAATTGAAACTTCTACTTCAAAAGCAAAAGGACCCATCTTTTGTCCAATGTTCTCTCTATCCATATAACGTCACCCTGTCAAACGAAGCCAACTATTTCATCTCCTATTGATCTGTGAAGCCCAAACATATTATACTGTGCATGTCTGAGTGAAGAGCGAATAAAACGTGAAGCATATGAACGCTTTTGCCCAAATTGCAGGGATACACTTTTAGAGCAGTGTGAAGAGATTTAGATGTGTGACTTCCAATTACCTTAATGGTAGCCATCTGGTTCAATCCCAATGCATTACACTGAAATTTTACCCCATGCTGCACATAAGTAACGTAGTAACTCACAACAGGTCATCGCTATTGGCCGAGAGCTAAGAAGGGATATTTTGGAAAAAGAAAATACTTTGCATTTATCCTACCAACTCTTCCATCAGAATAATTATTGCGTCTGGAACAAAAAAAAAAAAAAACAGAAAAAAATAAGTGGCACAAATCCCTCTGCTCTCTCCAGGTGTGCCCCTTCTTCTACTTTCACTGCAAAAAAGACTCTTCTTGTCAACTACACAGGAACATATTTAATTTGGGGAATTCCACAGGGAAAGGTACTGTTTCAGATAAATTATTCAGCAATTTCAAATAATCCCTGAAATTTGTGTCTCAGATTAAAGCATTTCTCACAGCTTTTGTCCAAGAAACAGATAGCAGCAACAGCAGATGAGAGCTCACCTTATTACAAAGTCGTGGCTATCAATCTCTTTTCCGCAGCCGCTGTCCAGAAGGATGCCAGAATTTCCAACAACTGCACAAGTTTTAAACCGCCGATTCTTCATTGGGGAAACCTCAGGGAGGAGGCTGTGCAAATCCTGAGAGATGTTTAGGGTGCGACGCCTGTCCAGCACGTAATGGATTACGTCCCCCGGCTTGAAGCTGCTTTTGACCACCGAGACATCTCTTTCAGCGTCCAAGAACCGAAGAATGTTCTTCCTGTCAACCAATCAAAAGGCAGAGATAAGACCCAGCACTCACCGCTCACAAGGAGTTTATCTAGCAGTCGCACCGGCCGTACAGAGCACGCAACACGAAGCAGAGGGCAGACAGCTCCGGATGGACTGAGGTCATTTCCCATGCTCCAGAACAGATTGAAAGCAAAGCCGTCAGGGCAGAATTCAAAGGCTTGATTACAATATTACCTGCAGATATTACAGCAATAGAGCTCACTCACTTTATATAGATAAAGGCACTGAGAGACCAGAGGAAGATGACTTTAAAACTCAGAAAGAACACTATTTTTGATTACTTTACAAAGCTTTGGTGTATGCAAGGATTTCAAGAAAGGACCAGAACAGTTTGTTTTCCTAAAAACGTGCTGATTACAGAGATGGGGTATTTATGAGTTAGGAAATAAATGCTTCACTATACTCTCACGTCTCAAAAGTCAGCTTGGTTCAGGAAAGGCCATGTTTTCTTTTAGATTCTTATTTCACTATAAGAATAACGTATTTAGTTTAGCTTAAACTTGCTCCTAATTAACTGAAGGTTCAGCCAAAGTTATCCTAATTAACTTGAAATAAGAACACCCTCAGTCTTTTGCACCAATTTTACAAAATCACCTTAAAACCACACTGCAAATTGAACGACAACAGCTCAGCACACAGCCGAGCTGTCAGCTGAACTCAGAGAAGCACTTCTAGGGAGCTCTTATCATCGCTTTAAATCAGTTTAGTCCAATCCTTCAGCTTGCGTCTCTGCAATTAAGCACTTAAACTGCTAACGGGGTTCAGCCACACAAGATCAAGCTATCAGCCAGCACAGGTTGAGGGAACAGGGGCAATCAAGCATTTGTACACTCCCAGTCCATGGTAAATAACAGGTAAAGTACGTCTGCTTAAATGTCAACTGATGCAGTTAAGTCACAGTAATCTGTACCTGCTTGTGAGGTCTAGGAGGGAGGTAAAAAATGAAGCTCTTTAAATTCACCAGCTCAGAAAAGACACTTTGAAGGACAGTGGTTCTGCAATGGCTGGTGCCTGCACTGGCAGCCTCATGCAGCCTTTAGCTGATGTTTGTCCTCGTGAGGAGAAGCCGGGAGAGACCCCAGCCACCACTGCGGGACCCCCGCCAGCCGGGGACCACGAATGAGCCCAGCCTCACACGATGCACTGGTGTTTTCCACTGGTGTCAGCAGGTAAGAGATAATTTAAAGCAGAACATTTTGTTGAGTAAGGGGATGCTATTTTTACATAATCAGTTTTCTGAGTGGAACTTCCTTAGATTGGATCAAAACAGGAAAAGCCCGTACTTAGAGCTGCCGCTCCTGCAGTCGCAGCCCCACTGAGCACCGGGATGGGGAAACCACCCCCGAAGGCGAAGAGGGATGAGCAGCAGGAGCTCCCGTCCCCCAGGAAGCTGCCGCCGCTGCCGCGGGGGCCAGCGCACACCCGCCGCTTGTGGCCCCTTCCTTGCACAAAACAGCTGCGCTGGGATCGACCTTACACACCGAAGGGGAAGTGAAACGCCATAAAAAAATATATATATATACTGTTTTCAAGTGTTTCCTCTCACGTCTTAAATGGGGAGGAAAAAAAAAGAAAAGAAAAGGGCGTTCGCGGTTCCCTTTTGCAGCTGTCACGCATGGATGAAGTGGCACCAGGGCAAAGACGTCCTCTGCCGAGGCAGGTGAGGGCCTCTGAATAATGAAGCAGGGTAGAGGATATTAAAACCTTGAGCGCCTAAAGCTTTTGTTAAGTGGTATAAAAGGCCAGGTAAGGCATTTCTGTAAAGCACGATAAAGCCTGTTCCTCAGCCTGTAAGTTCAAATGGACGTAAAGCCCCGCAGGCTTGATGAGCTTCATTTTGTGGGCACCCTGCAACAGATAGGTAAATGGTTAAAAAATGAAAAAGAGAGGGAAAGGAGGACTCACCCGATCCAGCAGCATTAAAAAACACCTCAGTTAGTAATTACTAGGAACGGTGCCATCAGTCCTGGGGCCCAGCACAGGACCAGGGGGACGCACCAGGAGTCCCCGACAGCACCGGGCGAGCTATTTGGAGGCTCCCACCTCTCACACGCCCTGGCACGAGCAGGGGCAGCCACTGCGAAGGCTCAAAAAGCCAGAAAAGCTACCCGCAATGTCGAGAGACGAGGGCTGCGGCGGGAAACTGAATCCCTCGGGAGCGTAAGGGGCTTCACTTGACTTACCTAAAGCCCCCGCCCCGACAGCAAGAATTCACAAGCCCGTTATCACTTGTGTTAGCAAACAAAGAGGCAACGCTTGTGCAGGAACAGAGCAGCCTGTGTATTATTTTAAAACATGAGAAACTGCAGTGAAGTTATGGAAGCGGTGTCATAAAAATAAGACAGGGCCTTGGCTTCCTGTATTGGGGTGGGTAACTTACCAGCAAAGTTTGTTTACGTACACCCTTAAAGTCTTCCAGTGGGTTTCAGATGGAGCTGAATTAGACTCAGGTAATCCATCATTAGCAGAGCTGAAATGTCAAAAATGCTTAAGGAATTTATTTTCCATTAAAATTTTGAGATGAGCAAAAGTCACTGAATCTCAGTACGCTCTCACGTATTAAAAGTATATTTTCACCTGAAGTTGTGAGTAGCACCTTCAATGGCAAATGTGCAAGCAGGTGTTAAGTGCACTTGTAAGAACCCCTGTGCCAACAGGAGATGTGTAATAACGCTAGCGTTCAAATATTTCTAATTGATTCATTTGACTGTATTCAAACATTTTTAATACTGGAAGGAATGTGATTAAGCATGCAGATGTTCATGCCATTGTTTTAAGTTCCTCTGTGCTACTGACTCATCTGTACTGCAGGGATAGTGGTACTTCCCCTTTTCACATGGGTGCTAAGAAGAAAAAAATACACTAAGGGATATGACAAAAAACTAAGTACAAAGCGTACAAGGGTGTCTTGGTCAATCTCGATGTTGGTTAAAAATAATTTAAAAGAAGTGCTAATTCGCATTCAGAAACTTCACAGCTCAGTTAGAGGAAAAAAGGAAGGGAGAAAAAACAATGCTTTTCAGTGACCCTTGAAGCAAAGGTGTTGAATGGAAGGAACCTCTGCAAGCATAAGCTAGAATGTGTAAAGAAGCTGTTTTTCTGAGGCGGTCTTCGAGTTTTGTTTTAATAAAACTCTCCCTGAGGTGCAGTCGGAGCCCTTCCCAGGCAGGTGAGGCAGGTCACTGTGGTTAGCTGAAGCCCAGCAGCTTTTTGCAGCATGCTTACATGACTCTCAGAAACGTGGTGCCACAATCTGTGGTTTACCTAGGTTTGTTTTGATAACCAGAAACAGATGTTCATAATACTAAAACACCAAGCCCAACTCCTGGTTATCTGATGAACTATACACAACAGATACCGCCGCCTTTGCATAGCTTTCCAAAAGATACAAAGATATTATATTCTGGGGCAATGTGGTGACATGTTTTCTATTTATGTGTCCTTTTTATTCTGTACAATAGTCTCTGTACTACACAACAGTATCACCCTATGGCAACCTCTCCCACCTCTGCCACAGAATTGTTTGGATTAAGAAAAATAAATAAATAAATCACTTAAATATTTGACTTCTAGGATTGCAAATAGTTTTAAAAGTCCTTCCTTCCGAGCAAGGCAGCGCTGGAAAGCCTCACGCTGGGGCTTGCCTGGCCTGAGAAGCCCAAGCCAAGAGATGAACTTGCTGAAGGGCCTCCTCAGTGCCGGGGAACCCGGCTCGGGCACCAAGCCTTAACGCTGCTAGGACTATGGGAACAAGGCCTGCCATAGGGTTATTCAGTCCACGCCCTGTCCCACCGAAGATGTACACTTGCTTCTGGCACATGCTTATCTAATATATTCCTAACAACATCCAGGGGTAGGGACTTGGCAAACGCTCCCTGCCGTGGGTTTAAGCACCTCCCTGCCCTCCCCAGCAGCATGTTCCCCCCACTGCTAACCCAGGTGCGTCTTGCCGCAACCGAAGCCAATTCCTGGTCCATGTACCTTGGATTTGGAGAACAGGAAATAATCAGGTAAAAACGCCTTACTCTTTGGCAAAAGCCTTCACATACTGCAGGCTAATAAACCCTCAAATTTTCTAATTTTTTGTTTCTTTTTTAAGATAGTTCCTTGTTTTTAGACCTCTGAACCTTCTTGTTGCTCTCCTGTGGGCTTTCCCCAACTGATTCACACAAGCCTTTACACACCTTGATTTGCCAGAGATTTGCCTCTCACCCTACGGTTGCTCTTCGCCCTCCAGCGGGGAGGCAGAAGGCGGGTCTCAGCTTTTAAAATCATCAAGGAAGACAGCTTAGTGGCTGATTAGATGCTGCTTTCCTTGAAGAGGTGCTCCTGAAACCAACCTCAGCCAGAGGAAGCTGAACCACAGCAGCACCCTGGGCCGAGCTCGACCCCGGGTACAAACGCCAGTGACTCCCCCGTCTCCCAACGAAGCCGACGGGCACCGCAGACACCTCCGAGGGCAGGCTGTGGCCTTGCATTACCGCACGCTGCTTTCTTGTTTTGTCATTTTTATTTAGGCACACTAAAAACACTCCTGTCTCAGAGGAGCTCTGCTTTCCAACTCTGCTTGCCTTTAGCACCGAAAGAGAAACAGGTAGTTCAATCAAATGGCGTGCGTACGCTTGAGTGAGGGGAAAAGTGCACAGTTTAGTTTGATTAATTATCTTTTCTTTCCAGGATTTCCTTTTTATGCTTTCTCTATGCATATTGATCACAAGGAGGCTTTTAATAAATTAAGACCAGTTAGGACTTTTAACCATAGTTTACATAGTTCCAGCTCCACATTTCAGAACGTGCACGTTATGTGACTGTACAGAGAGGATTTTTCACATGCTACCAAAACAGGAGATTGATGTTTTGTTTTTTCTAAAGAACCACTGATTATGGAAAGGCCAGTGGTTACTCGAATCCAAATATTTTTATTTGCTCTGTAAGGCAACTCACCATGAATATTTCAATCTCAAAATGCTGTGTTGATCATTTTGATAGTAGCTAAATAGAGAGATCTAAAGTTAGTACTTAAATTGAACCCATGCTCTTCAAGTTTTAGATTTTTTAGACTCACTTGGTACTTTTTTTTTTTTTGTGTAAGACAAACATACAAAATCCTTCCAACACATAACCAGCAAACGTTCAGTGCTGCTAAGCAGTCTTCCAGACAAATAGTAAAGAATTACTCAGTAATTTTGGTGTTTGTCACATACGGGTTTTTACTTCCCACTATAGGAAGACCACCAAAAAAAAAGCACCAAAGCACATAGCATCTCACCCTCAGGAGACTCCCATTTCCACCAAAGTCGGTGCAGATTCCCACTGACTTTTTCTCATGTAATTTTGAAAATTTACTAAGATTCAGAGTAGATTTGTTAAAAACATGCATAATTGTGACTAACCATGGAAAGCTTTCCAGTGCTCCTCAGCCCAGAGCTGACCGCAGCAACACCTGGGTACACGGAAGGGTCTTATCTGCCCCCGCTTCCCTCCAAACCCTTTGCGGCTCCCCTCTTGCCACCAAGGTCACTTCCCAGCTGACACACATGCTAATCATGTCATAAACCTTCAATAGGCACGCAAAAGTGCCTGGCCACTGCTTATCACATGAAGGTCAGCCACATATCAGCTTTTATTGATTTTAAGCAAGTTAAAGTCAAAAGAACAGAGTCAGTGGCGTTAACCACCCCAACCAAGAGCAAATGTCAACTTTTCAGTGGAGGTAAGGCTCCAAGGGAAATAAAATGCTTTGCAAATTTCTGAGAGCTTTAAGGTTTGTTACAACTAAATCAGCCTGGAGAGTCCTGATCTGCATGTCTTGGAGACACACAGGTTTGGAAGGGAACAGCCTGGCTGGCCCCAAAATGTCGCTCGAAAAGCTTCAGAGCTGCTCCGGTGCCAGCTCTGTGTCTACTGTGCACACTTCAAGGCCATATCATAGCTGTTTCATATCATCTTGCAAGACAAATAAAGATAACAATCTGAGCCCTTCTTATGGGGGAAGTCTTGCTCGCTCTCTCTTTTTTTTTTTCCTTTAAATGGAGCTGTTAACATATTACAAGTTCTCACACTTCTCTGACAGGAAATTTCCACTCATCGAGTTCTCACCCACATCACAAATAGATAAGCACATCCTAGACACGCACCGTTTTATTCTTCATTTCGCCTTCCTGCGATTCAAAACCTCTGTCCGTTCCTTCCAATGCAAATACATGCCCCCACTTAATCAGAAGTGGAAAAAGAAAGTCATGCACTCCAGCCTCAACCGTATTTCATTTCACATAGTTCACAGAGGTGCTGGCACTGGTCCTGCATAGCAGGCTTCCCCAGATGGGTTTGTATCACCTCTGCCACATCTCTCCATTCTGAAAGCATGGCCTTTAATGGAACTGAAATTTCCCAATTTCCATAATTGGAAAACCTTCAAATTGCCACAGACAGTAGGCAGGATTTAGACATGAAACCCCACAGAAGGTGGATCCTCTCTCCTCTTTCCCCACATGACTGAAGCATTCAGACAGTGAGGGAGTCAAGCCAGCACCAGTGGCAAGTGCGGGCACCAGAATTACTAATTATTCTTAAAAGAAGTTGTCAGCAATCAGAAGGTACCGTCCATTTGAAAAAAATCACTCTGCCACTAGAGCAAGATTGGTAAGGCAGCAAATTTGATCCAGTCTCTAGTAATCAGCTAACGATACCCACCATCCCCACTTCAATCATGCAATGTCAGGCTCTTTCTTCCAAGCAGGCACCTCCAAAGGGGCTGCTACACCCCCTCAACTGCTTCTCCTGGTCACAAAGTCCAGGAGAGCATCTCGGGACCCCAGATGCCCTGTGGAAGCTCTTCCTCCTCCCATGGGGTCCTGGTTATGGAGCGTCTTCACTCATTGATTCCTATGACCTGGTGAAGAATTCATTTCCAATACCAAATAGAAAAGACCTCTGCGGTTGATAAAAAGTGGTCATTAACTCGAGCAAATACAAAATGGCAGGAGAGGACACCCATGGTCAACAGAGCAAGTAGCAAAGCACAATGTCCCAGCTACAAGCCTGGTAGGTCCAGACACAACACAAAACCCGTTGTCCTTGCAAAAAGCAAAACTATAATGTTTTTCCACATTTTAAAATTTTTATTGTGGGTTTCAAGCTGATGCAAGACACATCAGTAGCTGCCATTTTGGGTGATTATAAGTTTTACGAAAGGTCTGTATGCTGTACACTAATGGTTTCACAAATTATTCTTCCACTGCTAAGAAGTGACAACTTTTTATACATTATTCAACAGGCGCTAGCTTTCTTTATTATGTTTCTCTCTTACCGTCGTTTGCTATGGTGAACCTCATACCACAAGTCAAACACCATTCATGTTAACGGTTGCAATAACAGAGTATGAATCATCTTCATGGTCTATACAGTGCACGTATCGTACTTTGGAGGACCCAACAGTTGGTCTAACGATGAGAACACTCTAGGAGATTGCTACGTACACTTGAAGTTAGTCCTGATAGTTAAGCATAAAAATATTTATGGCTAAAATGCTTCTTGCTGCTGTCACAGGGAAGAAAGGTATATAGCAAACCTCCTGCCAAAGCGAAAGAAGAATGCGTGCTGTTTAGTCCACAACAAGAGCAGGGCACACATTACAAGGGGTTGTTTGTGGTTTCTGCAAGGAAAAAATGTGGCAAACTTTCCTCCCTCACTGCTGACAAGCGTACCTGAATATGTTGCACACATTAGCAAAGAGGATTTCTGGAAAGAACATGCACTGGCTAGCAGCCCTGCTTCCCTTGACAGTCGGCATCAAATTTTGGCCCTTAGTCACATTAATCTAAAATCTGGTATCGGTTCAGTGAAAACATCTGCTCCTCTGACCTGCTGTTCATGATGATAGCTATGTCATCTCAAAATGAGACCAAAGTGGACATCCAGATAACCTCAACTTTATGCATACTGCTGTGCAGAAAATCTTTGCACTGGCCAAATGAGATCTTTACTTTTTAAACTAGTGTATAGGATACATGCTTTTCTTCACTGTACTACTTAGACAAAAAATATGCTTCACTGTTTTTAAAAACTACAAAGTAATTACATCATGATGTTTCTTAAGAGCGTATTTATAAAGTGAGAGAGTTTTCTCATCCTCCAGCAGTAAGAAAAAAGGCATTGCTTTTGAAACTCAAGTTTTTGGTACAGTGAGATATGTATGCAGTAACAAGCTTAAAAAAAAAAAAGTAAAGCACTCATTTGTCTGAACGATATATTTTGCTTTTGAAATAGGTGAAAAACGAGCACCTCGGAAGTATCCCAAACCCCAATTTCTCTCTGACTTTTACCTAAAGAGTTATTATAATACTATCATTTGTTTATTGTTTGGCTTTAGCAGCAAAATATATCGGTTTTAAATGGTTCTGAAATATGATACTTAATTTGTCACCAAAACGGGATGACTGCAAAGAGTTATTATAAGGTTCTGATTATAGTCTCTCAATGACTTCCAAAGCAAATCAGTTTACACCACAAGCAAAACTGTGTGTTTTTTTTTCTTGTCAGAACTATAGCCTATGATTTGAAATTTGGACACTATTCTTTTTCAAGTTACTATTTGTCCAACTTAAGTTGTCAGTTACCTCCACGTAAATCTTAAATATTGTTATCGATATAGGAATTCTGCTCATTTTCCCCAAATTACCTTGGAGGAGAATTTAGCTTTTACACAACAACTACACATTGGTCAAACAGGTGACATCTACACTGAGGGCCTTGGGAGAAAGACCAGCCCTGAGGCCTGGGAGTACACCTCGGCTGAATATTAGAGTGAGAGCCAGGCGTTCACTTGTGCGAAACCCAGGTGCTGGGGGCGCAGCTGGATCCCTGGGGGTCCCTCAGGCCAGGGCACCCAGCGGTTTGGGACAATACCATGCACCATGCAGCGTAACACAGCGCACCATGCTTGCCCGGCAAGATGCAGCTGCTGAGATACAGCCGCAGAGTATCAGTAGAGCAATTACTGCTGCTACCCAAAATCTGCTGCTCTTCTCATCCTTATCATGGTTCCCTACTGCTGCAGTGGGGCTGTGCTAAGTCCATCATAGCTCAAGAACTTCAAGAATTATAACCGCTCCACAGATTACTTTTACTACAACTTTGTACACGTGAATCATTTCTGAGCTATTAATATCTTTTGCTTGTTTCAGAATGAAGAACATAAAACAGCAGCCATAAATCCCGAAGTCCCTTGTTCAGAGAGGCCATGTCTTTCATACACGGAAGCATTGCCTGCTTAAGGGTTTCATAAGCTGCCCTTTAATTTAAACAAAATCAAAGAAAGAGAAGTGACACAGAAACCACATTTTAATTAGATCAAATTCCTACTCAGCTGTAAAACAGTGTTCAGATCCAGAAAATCAAACATCCACTCCGCTATGCCTTTGCTGCTGAAAAATCTCTTTCCTACCACCTTTCACAGAGCAGGACAGGCTCAGCCCGCCATCCCACTAACCTGAGCTCCACACCCTGCCCTCCCTGGCTACCTTCCTAAGACTGGGGGAGCCTCCGAGCCGAGCCGTGACAAGAGCCCAGTAACGGTTGCCCTGAGGCAACCATTAGGAAACGTCAAAACTGTCACTCCTTAACTCTGCCCTTGTGTCTACCTACTCTGTTCTTGTGTCCACCTCTGCATGGACCTGAGTCTCCTTCGGCCTCCACCTGCAAGGGAAGGAGAACTGTCATGAGGTGGCAGTGGCGTCGACGCAGCTTGGACCAGGTGCAGACATTCAGGATAGGTGTCATATCACCTAACAGCCTCTCTCTTAATCCCTACATCTAAGTCATCCCCCTAAGCTCCCTTTGCAGTTAAGGGAGAAGACTAGGTACTTTCAGCGTATTTTCACCTGTCCTGTTTTAGGCAGCTATGGTAGGATGAGACAAGATCGTGTCCTAAAAGTGCCAATTTCTCACCACCAACTGTAAGGGAATGCTAGACAACCAGCTCAATGCAGACATGCATAACATAGACGTTGTCCTCGATGCCTCATCGAGGGAATCAGATGAAAAACTGTTATTTATTCCTGTGAAGTGCAACTTTACTTCGAAGATCGAGGTCATTTAGTTGCATTTAACATTGCACCTAGGTAAGTTATAGAACATCCACCTGCAACAGTGAATCAAATGACTATGATAAGTTTTCTAGACCAGAAGAATTATAGGCAATAGTATTACAAAATGAACTTCAAGACACTCACCTTATCTCCAGTACCAACGAGGAATTGATTTTCCAACCTTCTACCGATTGCTGGAAGATTGAGGAACCCTTTCGAATTGTTTTATCAGAGCTATTGATCATTGATCTACTCAAACTCAGTTCACCATCTCTGCAATGCAACACAGAAAAAACACAATTATGTTAAGGCTAGTTCTAGTTTGAAGTAATTTAGATCACAAACACCAGTGATATTTTCTCTTTGTCCACGACAAAACGTAGCAATTGCCTCCCATTCTCACCTACTCTGCTCGCCAAATAAAATAAACCATACCTAAGAGAAATCTATGGAAGATCTCTATCTAAGATTTTAATACTTAATTTGAAAGCTTAAGTATATTTTCAGTTTTATTGCAATGAACAAAACAAAAATTACAATGAACTCCAAATTGTGAGGCCGGACCTGGTTTGCCTCAGTATACACGTGAGGCAGATTCTGCACGCCCCTGTCCCAAACTTCCACTATTAAGCTAGGAATTAACTTTCACTCCTTCCTCCAGCAATTTATCTTGTTATACATTAATGGCCTAATTAACTCTCTTTGCCTCCTACTGGTACTAGGAGACTTCCACGCCAGGAGTTCTGGGGTTGCAGGGCACACGAAACACAAAATTTCCCTGAGACTTCCTGCAACATTTGCACAAACAAGGCCAGGCAACCTCCGTTGTCTATCCGATTGACCAATCTCATTATATCCATCCATTTTGGTAGGGTAACCTTAAAAAATAAAAGCTGTAGTAAGCAGCGGCTGATGATCACTGAACATTTGATGAAGTACCATACAGTTACCAGTCGCAACCGTATCAGCCAACAGGTCACACATATGTAATAGGAAAGCTAAAACACTGCAAGCAGAACTCAGGTCTTAGGTCTAAAATCTGTTTTTATTTCCATATATGCAACCATACTGTTTCTATTTATACACCAGAGCACCATTCAGCCCTCTGAGTTCAAACATAGTAGCGTAATCCATAGTTGTTTAATGTATCAATCTCTTTGGGTATAACATTCTCCCATGCAGAATGCCTTATATCTGAGAAGGAGTATATATCACAGTAACATAGAGAAATCTCTATCTGTTAAGAAAGGAAGACTTCCCTGAAATATTACTAATAATTCCACTTGGCTACAAATAGGACTTTTGACCAGCAGACATTTGACCAACAAAATGGAGCATGAGAAATGTTTCAGTGTAGTCTCTGAAAGAGACCACAAGCTTTCTAGGGAAATGCTAATTTTTGTTTCCCTGTCTCTGAAAGTGCTTAAAACAATGGGATCCTGGTGCATTGTAAGAGCTACTGCAACATTATTACAGTATATATGTGTACTAGCATTTGATAAATTATACCGCAGATTAAACTAGAACTAACCTGCAATGGGACATTAATTAGGCTAAACTAACAAAACTGGTACTTTGTGTTCATTTGCAAAAACGGCCATGATTGCAAAAGCTCCTGTAAGTAGTAAACAATGTTTTACACTTCATATAAAAAAAAAAAAAAAACCCAAACCCCAACCCCCAGTGCCACTGGCACCACTCTCCCCTCCTCACCCCCCCCCAAACCAACAGGCTGCAGCAAGGACGCGGCGCTGACTCAGAGGTAAGAGTGCCACCTACTGAAAAACCCACAACTCCAGGCAGTTTTGCACAGGTGCACCACCTGTACGCAAAGCCTCCTACTCACTCCAACTCGACCCGATGGCAGCATGTTGTGGAAGCCACTGAAGTGAATGAATAATTACAATGTATTTAATATTTGCTTTTCGATGTTTTTAATTTCACATTCACTAAGCTAGTTTACGGTTGCTTTCTCTTCCACAACTGTTATGACTGTGCTTATTGCATATCCTGTTCTGCAACAAGATAGAGTGTATGCATCTAAAGGAAAATTACCCAAATGCATCAGGTAAAGTACACATATAAGAGTACTTCAGGGAAGTCTCTAGTTTATGCTGAGTAAAAAGTTACCCATTAGGCACTTCAGGCAACAGTGAAACAGGTGACAAAATTTAGCTGTTTGGAACATAATTTGTTGCTAAAGTACTCTAGCATTTGAAAGGTGATTGTCTCGAGTATTCACAATTTACATCTACAATGAACTATATATATGGCACAGAAAAACAATGTTAAATTATGTTGCCATGAGCTGAAAGAAGGTCCTAAGTGCTCCGTGTTAAAGCTCTACTACAAACACAGAGGTGTTTACTGATATGCTCCTCTCCCTTTTATTAGTAGTTTAATTTTCATCTAAAATAATATTTAATACAGTCATGCATAAGAAGCTCAACTTACACCAGGAAATTCTTCATTGTGTAAACAAGTAAGCGTGAAATGAACTGGGGCCACTTTGCCTCTTCTAGAACTGCAGTAAATCCCCCTTGATATTAATAGAACAACTGCTGTTAAAAATGATGGTAACTTGTGGCTTATGGTGTCAACCTCAGCTCCGAATTACCTCGCTTTGGTGACCAACCAGACTAGTATAAGACCATCTCTTATCCTGCACGTAGTTTGTTAAATGCAAAAAAAAAAAAAATAATACAATGCATGTGTGTTATTACTTGAATAACCTTTAAAGGGACATTACTGTCTAGACATTACTGTCTAGTTAAAGATTGTCATGCTTTTACAATTATTGTCCTAGAGATTTTGCTGTGAAAACATAAGGTGTTTAAGGCATAACATATGCTTTGGAATTGCACAGATTCTTATATAATACCCTATTTCAGAAAACCTGGGATTTACTGGCGGTGTCATTAATAAATACAAAAAGGGCCACCTCATGCATTCAGAATGTGAGATTACTAGTACTTCTGGAAGTAAAACATTCCACAAAAGAATGACTTTGTTTTCCCTTGTGGCCCATCAAAAATAACCAAAACAGTGGAGTGAGCCCTTCTACTGGAAGACAGGCAAGAGTCGTTAAGTGGCGGCAGAGGGAAATAGGAGACTTAGTCTTCCTGTTTTCTGATTCTTACTGCTGAGGGATGGGGCAGAAGGGCTGGGAAAAGGAATGGTATCCCCACATCCTTAGCTAAAGGACGTAGGACCGTACTGCACAAGAAGTTTCCCTGACACCAAAAGTGTCGAGATATCACTAAAGGACCTGGCAGAAGCACGTTGTATGTTTAACTGTCAGAGAGGTAGTACATAGCTGTGACTACATACTTTGTTTCATGTAATAGTAAAGCATCAGTTCATTTAAAATAATATCAAATACAATATATCATAAGCTGGAGGGTTTTTTTTTTTGCAAATATGTAGCAATTATATCTAGTGACTGACTTCTGAATCATTTTAGCAACTGCACCTAGTCTGAGTTGAAGGATCGTATATTTTGAAACATGGATATCTTTAGTTAATGCTCATTCTCCCTGACACATTAGTTCTCCCGTGCATTCTTCTCCACCTATAAACATACATTTGAACTTCAGATGTCTTGTTCAGTACACCGAGACTACAGCACTGCTGCGAAACCTGGGCTTACACTAAGTTTCGACAAGAAAGTAAGTTACCGCCAAGTTGTAAAAGCCTTTAATACGTAGGGAAGCAAACACCACACCATTAACCACGCATGGGGAAAACCCTCTCACACCTAGCCGATGCCGCCGAGGGGGGCGCTGGGTGGGCACCGCGCGGGCCCGC